TCCTCTAGGCAGTGATGTGAGCGCCTCCTCGTAATAACTGCCAAGGGCGTGAGTGATGAATCATCCTACCCGCCCTCATGATTCACGCCTACTACTGGGACGTGCCTCTGGCCCTGTGGACCGGCTCACGCTTTCAATAAATGATGTCAATATGAAACTGTAATCCCCGTCGCATTAAGCATAGGCGTCAATGATTAGAATACTGGGCCAATCATTCGGCACAAGTTAATCACATAATGTCTGTCTCGGTAGTTGATAAAATAGCTACGGTTAAGATAAGCCTCTTTCATATGGGAAGCAATCGTAAGAATATAAGAAAATGAGGCAAATCAATACAATATGTTTATCAATTCATAAGTCCCGAGATCCAGGGGTGTGACAACAGCTTGCTCATACTCAGGTCTCCTGTATCCTGTACGTTATCACTGCCACTAAAACGCCGCTTTCAGAAAAAAACGTACTTATTACTCTTATGTATTCACAGTTCGCCTCGTAACTGGGTCATCATCATCACCTGCAGTTCAGCAAGGCTTTTCCGCGAGCGAGAGAAGGCACTATGCCCTTGCCCTCGACGCTGCAGCTCCACATGCCTCAATTGATAACACATCATCTCTTGCCACGAAATTCCGAGCATCGCGGTGTCTGGCATTTCTGGTCGCCCCCCACACAATTTCACAAACACTTCCCTTTACACCAACCGGACGCACAGCCCCAAGCACAAACTCGCATTTCACAATCACCTGTATGAGGGTTTTCTATCAGTCCATTCTCCTTCCGAGTCACTTGCACTAGATAAAACGGCATCCGAGTCCGGCGAACACAGGCCACGAGCGCCGCAAGACAACCAGGACTGAGTGAGTTCTGGCAGTCACTGACGCGAGTCGCGAGAGACGTTCAAGTTCGGCACCCGGGTCGTTGGCGGGAAACCTGGCGCACTTTTACGTCATTCGCGACGCGTTCCTCCGCCCCGGCACATGCAACGTTCTGCCATCTGTGCAACATACGAATGTTGCAGTGAGAGGGTCGCAGCAATGTTCCTTTTCGTAGATGCAGAGGATGTTCGCTCTAACGGGGTCCGCCGCGTGT